TTCAAGAATGTTCTTTTGTGCATTGGTTGCACTTCAGCCTCATGCTCCAAATCTTTGGACACGGTGTGGAGGGGAGCAGGCAGGCCAGAGGGTATCCTCATGGGTCTGCTCCTGGGCCTGGCCAAGCTGGTCATTAATAGATCCCAGCAGCAGGCGTGGAGGGGGTCATTATGGCCGACTGCCTGTCCCTCTTCTGTAGCTAGGTCTGCCCCCGGGTGTCCCTGGAGTAGGAGCACGGGCTGTGCACTGGCGCTCTCGATGCCTTTGGGAGACAGGGGCACCATGGGTATAGAGTGCTTCAATTTACCCACAAACTCTATTTTGATTTGATCCATACCCTCTCCCTCACTTTTTCTTTCACATAGGTATTGCCCCTACAGGGGCTCTGCTTGATACTGATTCTTTGGTCACATGGTAATTTTCCTGGTGGTGTGTTAATAAAGTTATTTGTACACCTGGTGTTTTTTTTTCCACTGTGTGTATGTATGTGTGTGCAGGCATGAGACAAAGAAAAAAAAAAGGAAAGTTAAAATATAACCAGCAGATTTAGAATCTGTATAAGATGCAGGAAAAATAGTCACAGCCTATTCAGCCTCTCCCTATAACTCATACCCTCCTAGAGCAGGGAGATCAGAATTGAACGCAATACTGAAAAAGTGGCCTAACCAATGTCCTGTATAGCTGCAACATGATGTCCCAACTCCTATACGCAAAGCATTGACCAATAAAGGCAAATGTACCAAACGTCTTCTTCACTAGCCTAGTATCATGGAGAGGGAGGAAGGTTATCAGAAATTGCAACAGGATCTTGATCAACTGGGGAAGTCAGCTGAGAAATGGCAAATGGAGTTTAATGTAGATAAGTGTGAGGTGTTGCATTTTGGAAAGTCAAATCAAGGTAGAAGTTTCATGGTGAATGGTAGGGCCTTAAGGAGTATAGTGGAACAGAGGGACCTTGGAGTTCCGGTGCACAGTTCTCTGCGACTCCACTTCAAGGAACTATGAACCTGCACCCAAGGTCTCTTTGTTCGGCAACATTCCTCAGGGCCCTACCATCCAGTGTAAATGTCCTACCCTGATTTGCCTTACCAAAATGCAACACCTCACATTTACCTAAATTATACTCCATCTGCCACTCCTCGGCCCACTGACCCAAGTGATCAAAGCCTGTTTGTACTTTGAGCTAAATTTTCTTCACTGTCCACTACACCACCAATTTTGGTGTCATCTGCAAACTTACTAAGCATTCCTTCTCTATTCACACACAAATCATTTATATAAATGACAAAAAGCAGGGACTCAGCACTGATTCTTGTGGCACACCACTGGTCACAGGTTTCCAGTCCGAAAAGCAACTGTCTACCACCACCCTCCGGCTACGTTCAAGCCAATTTTATATCCAAATTAGCTCTCCCTGGATCCCATGTGATCTAACCTTGCTAACCTGTCTACCATGCAGAACCTTGTCAAACACCTTGCTGAAATAAACTCAATCAAGTTAGTGAGACACAATTTCCCATTCATAAAGCCATGTTGACCATCCCTAATTAGTCCTTGCCTTTTCAAATACATGTACATCCTGTCCCTCAGAATTCCCTCCAACAACTTACCCACCACTGAAGTCAGGCTCACTGGTCTATAATTCCTTGGCTTTTCCTTAACACCTTTCGTAAATAATGGCACCACATTAGCCACCTTACAATCTTTCAGCACCTCACTCTTGGCTATCAATGATGTAAATATCTTAGCAAGGGGCCCAGCAATCACTTCTCTAGCTTCCTACAGAGTTCTGGGATATACCTGATGTCTTCTTGGGGATTTATCTACCTTTGTGTTAGAGGATGTCCAGCACCATCTTAATGAATGACGTCCTGCTTCTAATGATGGATTTCTCTCCAGCCGCTATAAATGGATATTTGAGTAGATACCTCCAGTTGAAGAGCTAACACAAAGACAGGCTTTATGAGTTAAATGACCAATGTCCTCCACTTTTGCATGAAATTTGATAATTTGCTAATTGTAATTTTTACTTCAAAGGGATTCACAGTAACAAAACAGAATTTGTTTAATTGTCAAACTTTGAAGATTAGCGTAGGGAAGAATCTTGAGCTGCTCCCAGGACCAGGAAGCATCACAGACAGAAGTTTAAGTGTACAGGAGGCAAAAATTAGCTTCCTGAGTATGGGCTGAGATTACAGTCTCGCAGGTTTAATAGCAGATTGAGCTTACTCGCAGCAAGCATTGGGAGGACCTTCTTCATGCATCTACATGTTAGTCTAAAAGACTGTCTCACCAAAATGAAGTGCAGCTTTCAAATTAAGTTCCCTGCAATTGAGGAATATGTGCTTGCAGATTCATGACTGCATAGAAGTGGCATGCAGTGGATATGTTATTGTTGCTGGAGTTAAAATGAGTAGTTGGATGATGAATGGCAGGCTAGTGGTTACCACTGTGCTGGGAAGAGAGATTTTGATATTCACTAATAGGAGGTCATAGCTGACAAGGGGAGGTAGGTGAAACTTTTGAGGGTAAGGCAAGGATTCTAGCTTGAAGCTATAGATCGATGATGGGAGCTCAAATGTGATTGAGGGAGACCATGTCTTCAATTTGCAACATCACTGCTCCAGTGTTTGTGCACGACTCACAAGCAATGATCTTGGCACTCATCATCCAGGATGGTATTCATCACAAAACCATCCTATTATAGGTAGTGGCCAGGGTCTACCCAATGTTAAGTATAAGACTTCTCACTGGGCAAAATGCTTAAGATGTAGCAGAAGCTGCAGCAGGTTAAGCAATACAGGCTAGCACAATGTCAAGCACTGGCACACAATTGTAGACACCACAACCGGTGCAGCCACCTGTAAATGTTAGGGAGGCAATGTTGAAGACGGCAAGTTAGATTACAGGACTGCTATCACTCATTTATGCCAGCCTCTCCAGGAAGAACTACTTCATAAGGATGGGGAGGTAATCCAACGTAGCATTTAAAGTTAACACAGCATTGAATTTCAGCAGCGGCTCTTACCAGGGCTTCACTGGGAAACATGATCGCTTTGTTAAATTTCACATTTTCACTTTAACACTGCTGGTATTGCAAATCCCTTCCATCCTCCAATGACACTAGACATGCTGCTCTCATAAAATCATGGCATCAGTTCCAGCAGGACAAAAACATTCCTGGTAAAACACTGCACATTCCTGGTAAAACACTGCACATTCCTGTAACCTCAGACCCATGGAAGGAGGACAAACCTCTGGCCAAAATGTTATCCTCACTGTTCTGTTTCCAGATCCTGGGTCTTTGTGACAATTTCTGTTTTTTTTTATTACAACAATACAGGACAAATTTGAAGCAAATAAATACTTTTGACAATTTCTATTATGCTTCTCTGCATTGCCAGGGTAAAGCTATTAGTTGGCCACTGAATTCTGGGGGAAAAAAAGCAAGAACTATCTGACTAGTCACTCAAATTATTAGATTCTATTAAGCCTGTCAGCAGAACAGAACTTTTAGTCATTCTTAAGTCCTCAATTGACACAAGAACTGCAGTCACCCTTTTCTCTCACCCTTGCCATGACACAACCCATTTTGAAGAAGAAAACTCAAGGAAGCCTTATCATGGATTTCAAGAGTCCAACAATTTGAAATGGGTACAAACTTTCCAAGAGGTCAACACAGCAACTACTTTATATGGAAGATGCTGAATGGCATGAAATATTCTGTCCTTGGAGACAGCGGAAGTAGAAAGCATCAGCAATTTTCACAGGAATCCTGATTGTTTTTTGACAAGGAACAAGCAAATGTGAAGGTCTAAAACTATGGAGTTATCGACCTGGGGAACTAAAGTCATGAATCACAATGGCTTTTTCTGGTCATGGATGGCTGCGTATATGGAAGATCAATTACATATATAAGGATCAAGAAATTCAGGCCAGACCAGAACTGGAATCAGAGTTACCTGGCCTATATAAATCAGTATCACAGGAAGTATCATGTTCACTTCGTGAACCAACAGTAGGCATTAACTGTAACTTCCAAAACAACACAACTAACTTCAAAGGATAAACTGCCTAAATGGTAATTTGCTTTTTTATGTTTTACTGTCATTGATCATAGAGTGACCTTTCACATTCAAACTTAATAGGCAAATCCACTATAGAATATGGATGCTCCATTCATTCTCCATCCCTCCCCAACCCTACAGTCTTTGCATGAATTATGATGTTAAAAAATAGATTGATTCTCTCATATTGTGTATCCTGGGTTCCAATCAATTGATTTTTCTTTCTAAAGCTGGAACCCTTCCCAGTCATTGTTAAAGGATATGGAGACTTGGCAGGAAACAGGACAGATATAAGTGAAGCAGCATGACGTGTGTCATTGACCTCAGCAGACTGATTAGGGCAGGGTCATATTCACAGTATACCTGGTGTTTTAATTCATGTATCAAACCCAAATTTTGAGATGCACTGTACCTTTTTCTACTGATAAAGCTACTAACCTCAGCTGGTATAGCCTACAGATAACTCTAGACCTACAGTCATGTAGTTGACTCTTACCTGGCCTCCGAAGAATCCTCTCAGGAACCACTAATGGGTGGCCAACAAAGCTGACATTACCAGTGATACCCACATTCTATGTAAGAACAAAACAGTTGTAGTTTTCTCTTTTCCCCCACACAAGCCACCTGTACCCATGAGTTAGCCTGTCAGTTAAAAAATTAAGGGTAATTTAGGAACTGGATTAAGATCGTCTAAACATCACAAGTTAATGAGCACAGTGTCAATCCAATTCGTAATAAGTACGGACCAAAGAACAAAAAGAACCCCAATTGCGACACTAAATTGATTATCTCACTCAAATGGGTATAAGGGGGCAGTATTAAGCGAGCATTACTTCTCTAGGTAACGGGTGTTGATCTATGCCACTTACAAAGTGGAAAGAAAGAACTTCAATTTATATAGCATCTATCATATCCTCAGATTATCACCAAGTGTTTTTCAGCCAAGAGTGTATTTTTGAAGTACAGTCACTGTTGTAATGCAAGAATAGTAACATCCAATTTGCACACAAGCTTCCACCAACAGAAATGTTTGACAAACGAGATAATCAGTTAATAGTGATGTTTTTCATGGTGAAATTAAAAGGAGTGAGTACACAGATAACCTAATGGTTTCTGGCATTGTCCACATAAGTGATATCATTTAAAGCCATGAGTACCTGTCTCATTTCTATAATGTATCTTGCATATTGACACAGACATCAAGTTTTTCTGCCTATATATTCTGTGCCTGTGCACCTCTTTACCTAATGAAGGAGCACAGCTACAAAAGCTTATGATTTTAAATAAACCTGTTGGACTATAACCTAGTGTCATGTGGCTTCTGACTTTGTCCACCCCAGTCCAACGCCGGCACCTCCACATCATGCATACTGTGATAAATGAAGTAAGAAACAGAAGACCAAACATGCCATTTTCTAAAAAGTTTGACAGTTGATGTGACAAATTCATACATAAAAAGGTGTTTCCAAATGTAGCATTCATATGAAAAAATAAATTTAAAGCCAATGTATCATTTCATTTGTAAAATTAGAAATTGATGATACAGTAATTCTTATCCAAAAAAATTGAAGAGTTGAAGTGTGCAAAGGACACTTCCAAGTAAAATTAATTCTGGTTCAGTAAATTCACATCGATGAAATAAAAAGACTACAGTACCTTAAATTTGACAGAGCTGGTAGTTTACAGCCAGTTTCACTTGTCAAATACTGGGAGCAAATACAAAACTGCTGGAAATAAAGAGCAGGTCATAATTTTGGAGGACCACCTGATATTTGGAAGCATTCAAAACAAGGTTATTTGTCTGGGCTTCCTCTTTTCAAATTGAACTGAAAAGCTTTCTATTTCCAGCATGATTCTGTTTTTATTTCCGATTTTACCAGCATTCTCCAAATCCCATTCACCTCCTCAGGGTCACCATCAAGACTCATTCATCTACAGTTCCCAATTTAAAATGAAACTTCTTCGCCCCAACCACTAACCCCCCACCCCCCCCCCCCCCCCCCCCCCCCCACACACACAATGGCAAAACTATGAACAGAGTTTATTGCACCAAGTCCACCATCTTCTAGCTGGGAGTTAACTAGTTAAATGTCTGGATATACCATAGTTTTAGCATTTAATATATGACAAAATAAAAATGAATAAAAGGGTCACTGGGATAGGGATAACAGTCAAGACATGCCACGTACAAAAGGTTTACTTTCTGAACTGAGACAAGTGCTGCATTAAAGCTCTTGATCATGTAGCAGGTCAGATATCGAAGATGAATCAGAAGCCTGAATATAACTTTAACCCAAGGATAATACCACTGTTGACCAACGTTCAAAATTCCACCTTTGGTAGTTTGAGGTTTGTTAGGATCTCTTCATGACAGTCCATAAAGGTCCACAGTAAATCCAAGCAGCACAAGTGCTTACTGATTGCACACTGTCATCATACACACGTGTGCCGCATGTGAAAACTAACCACATATTCTGCGTTAGTCCTCTGCACTGATATGGCAAATGGCTCAAAAGGATGAAAGGTGAAAGCCACTAGGCGTCGCACTGTGTGGTTAATTGGCCGTCCCAGGAGCCCTGCTTGGATTTTAAACTTAAGCAGACCTGAATCCCGAGCATAAAATCTGAAAACAAAATAAAAATTCTTTGTAAACATCAGCAGCAACAGATTAATAATACAATGCCTCAAATATTGCAGTCATAGTTAGAGTTCAGTTATAAATGGAGCTGGAACGTGTTGAGCATACTGTCCCCCAGGAGGATGCTAAGCTGTAGAAAGAAATCACAAAGTGTTCCACCCAGCATTGTACTGTACTATACAGACCAGAAAATTCTTGTTTCTCTTCCTGAACTGTATGGAATTAGTGATGCCAGTGTAGTGCTACATCTGATAAGGACTGTGTCGTTTTATTTCTGTGCTCTTTAAAACTGTGGACTGAAATGAAAAGAACCATTTTGAAAACCAGAGATTTTCACAAGAAAACAGCTGCATGTTTTGAAAGCAAATAATCTGATACCTATTGTGCAGTCACACTGGAGCTGTGGGGGTGTTTCCAAGTGAAGCTGACTGATATGAATTAGTGGCCAGTTATCAGTAACAAGATGGCAGCTCTGTGGTGCAATGGAGTGCGCGCTGGACTTCTAAAGAGCTGGTATTCAAGTCCTACCAGAGTCAAGTTTGGGGCCCTCTTGTGGCTCAGTGGTAGTGTCCCCACCCCTGGACTAAGAGGCCTGGTTTCAAGTCCCACCTGCTCCAGAGTTGTGTAATAACATCTCTGAATAGGTGAATAGAAAAATAGGTAAAATTAAAAAAGAATTAAAAATTAATGACACAGGTCCTCTGCAGCCAACAACTGAGATTGGTGTGTCAAATAAATGAACAGCCTGGACTATGAACAAGACAGTGAGAAGCCAGTCAGACTAAGAGAGAACCAGATCTGCAGCAGCTACAATCGCTACCTCTCTGCACTTTAAGCCTGAGAAAACCATGCTATCTTTCCTTCAGCAGATGCTGTAAGCTGTGACTTTGAATTTGATAAGTCAGATAGCTTTCAGTAAATCAGACCCATAACCTTTTCAAAGGTAGTGGTGAAATAGTTGAAGGAAAATGTAAAAGAGCATGGGAAAAGGATAATTGAATATAATCAAGTGGTTGGCTCATTCAGAGATAGTACAGACATAATGGGTTGAAATAATCTCAACTGCCAAATTTTATGAGTAAGAACCCATATGTAGAAGCCACACTTCACGTAACCTGCCACGGAATATATGGACTTGAAACAGTTAAAACCTGAAATTAGCATTTGCCCACATAACATTCAACCAGGAACAGATGCTCCCCTTAAACCAACGGCGATGGTTTACATTACCTGATAGGATGATCACCACAAGTCTTGGGCCGTTCCATGACGGAGACCCACTTGTCATCATAGCTAAACAAAGAGAGATCAAGGTACGGACTGCTGCTGTAGGACTGTGCACTGATAGGCAGCTGCCCAAGGAGTCGCCTCACTGCCTCCGTATGTCCCCCATATTTGGCATTCACGATAGTGTCTTTAAACCTATAAATAAAGGTCACAATTGGAATCAGGTGCTGCAGTCTCTTCTTTGACACAGGCTATGGATTTACACAATGAGCACGGAGCAAAAAAATGCAAAAATGAGCAAAATTAAGCATATGAAGTCTCTGCTGAGAATTTGATGGAAATACATTTCCAATTGTTAAGGCTGATTACTACCACAGATAAAGCAGTCAAAGGAGGACTCAAGCAGTTATATTACCACAAGGATTAATGAGGGAATAAGAATACACAGTATTGCATTGCTTTGCATCATTTCTATAACCTTCAAGCAGTTGCACAATCACCAAATTGTTTTTAAGTGCAAGGGATGGTTTTATGTAGGCAAATGCTTCAAATCATGTTGTGCAGCCAATATCCCATAATCAGCAAATAAATTATGACAGTTAATATTATTGACAGTCCTCCCAGAATGGGTGATTGATTTCTGGGATACTGCTGCCAGTAACCCAGGACATAAATAATCCAGTGTCCTAGTTCACACCTCTGACATCTCAACTTTCAAACTCAAAATAAAATGCTAGTGAGTTCAGCAGGTCTGGCAACACCCGTGCAGTCAGACATAAAGTTAACATTTCAAGTCCAGTATGACTCTTCAGAAGAAGCGGTCACTTTCTGAAGAAGAGTCATATCGGGCTCAAAACGTTAACCGCTATTTCTCTCTTCACAGGTGCTGCCAGATCTGCTGAGTTTCTCCAGCACTTTAATGCTTGTTTCAGATTTCCAGCATCCGCAGTATTTTGTCTTTTATCAGGTATTCATGAATGTTCTATCCTTATATATGCACACGCAAGCATACAAAGTCATAAAACTGCTCAATATGGAGAATGTCTTGAAGATTTGTTACCATGGCAATGTCTCATGTCCATAATGAGTTGTTTTTACAATGAATGTGCAAAGCCATGAACTATGAAGTAGACTGCAATGTCACATGAATCTGCCATAAACTGCCATACAGAGAATAAGTGGAGCTAGTCAGCAAACAATTGATAGTCTTTAAGCTATCAGAAACAATTTCTAATTTTAAAAAAACCCCAAAGGAGGAAAGATAGATATTAGCAAGAAACATAGGCCATTCAGTTTTGCAGTATATTGACAGATGAATTATTATGTGATCAAATCTCCAGGAATAGATCCATAAAGAGTTGGCAATTATTGTTGAGCTAAGAATTTTTGCTAAGACACCAGCAGTATTTCCTTTTCTTTGGTGTTTTGATACCCTTTTAATCAAGAGAGCACATTATCCATCTTCCCCTACTGTCTGCCTCTCTTGCTGCCTGCGGTTCTCCCAATACAGCAGTATCTCACTAACAAGTCACCCATAATTTTATTAAACGGTGCAGCAAGCTCAAAGGGCCAGACGGTCCGCACTGACTTCTAACTTGTATGCATCTATCTGGCACGCTAAATTTCTCACAAAGAGCAGAAATGGGTCAATCATGTTTTGAAAGATGTCCCTTAAGGGCTTTAGCTGCTGAATACCTCAGCAGTGGCTTCATCGATACAAACCCTGCCCAAATGCAGCATTAACATCTCGAACACGTTCAGTTGTACGTAGTTAGAAAAACAGTGCCCAACTTCTTTCAGGACAAAGTCAAAACAAAATGAAGCTACGAGTAACAAAATTGTAACAATCTACTAATATATGCTATTACAAATCTTGGACAGTATACTTCTTCAACTCTCAAAACTTGTCTCTGTCCTACATTCTCTTATTTGTTTATCACAGTGAAACTCATTTTGCCCAATTTTCTCCTCTTCTACACAGTAGTGATGTTTACATCAGTGCATTGCTGCAGTGCAGCACTGTATCAAAGGAACTTTGTGCCATATATAAATTCATGCTACGAGTTGGACTGAAGGGTCTGTTTCTGTGCTGTATATCTCTATGACTATTGTACTGTGAATTCTGCAAGGTGGACTCTGCTGGGACAGAGTACAAGCAAGGGGAGATTCTGATAATGGCATGCTTCTTCCCTTCACAGATGCAGATTGCCAAATGACCTATTCTCTGCATTTTCTATGTTGACTTCAGATTTCCAGCAGTTTTAGGTTATGGAATTCACTTCGGAAACTCCGACAGGCAAAGTCACGGAATTTCTCTAAAGTAAATTCAGAACACGTAGCTTTATGTTTCTGGCAGTTAGGCTTCCTCAGGTCAATAAACACAGACAGAAAGTGGAATATAGAATAAGGCATCAACAGGCTCACTCACCTTCGCTGAATTTGTCTGGCAAAGTTATTGCTTGATGCTGAGCAGGGAAACTGCACAGCCTCACTGTGCAGGGTAGCGTTCCGATAGAGATCACAAAAATTTTCAAATAGCTGTAAAAGCTCATCACAAGTGTTCTCAAAGACAGCCAGAACCCGGGTGGTCACCATATTGTATACGACAAAGAATGATGGCTGTGGGGAACAGAAGCAGAATAAGACAAAGAAGAAAAATTAATTTGAGGTCAAATCAATGCTCATTTGCAGACAGTCAATTAATAACGCTGGACTTGGTCTGGAGGGAACTGTCACAGCTGCTCAGCGAGTGAAAACAGCTCAGTAGCACTTGCTCTGAAACATTAACTCTAAGTCAGACTGATGCAGTGGGTTGGAGGAAGAGGCAAGATAAAGTTGCCATTGTCTTATAAGACCTTGAGGCTCCTCTCTGATGGTCGCGTAACTAGAGGGTCACCATACCTCAGGTGAAGTGAGAGGTTGAGAAGGACAGTCCTCTGGAGTGGAGTGGGACAAGTTGTTGGATTGGGGACCAGTGCGGGCTGTCAGCAGCTTGCGAGCCCAGTCAGACCATGTGGAAGCATTGATCTACTGCAAACTCACGTTTATCTGTAATCTGTTTATCTTACTGTAACGTTTATCCTTTTAACTTTATTTCCTATTTTTTAATGTATTCTATGAATCACTGTAAGGTGATGTAACTTCTTTAAAATTTCTTTATTTTATATCTAAGATTTGTACCTCGGTGCTTTGTACTTAAAATGGTGCTGAGGGGTGACACTGTAAACTTTTCACTGTACTTCTGTACACGTGACAATAAACTTAAAACTAATTCTTGCTCTTCTTCTTCAAGGTAACCTCAGCCAGCGCAGTAATTGAACCCATGCTGCTGGCATCACTCTGCATTGCAAACCAGCTAACTGGTGAGGGCTGGGGGGAGCAATTCAGCTCACTGCAAGCAACCATTTCAATTATCTGGTTTTCAAATGCAACAATTTCTCCCAAAATCCACCAGCTTTTATCTCCCTCTTCCAGGATTTCATACCAGCAAAAACCTAGAAATTGTTCGCAGGTGACCAACAACTTGAATTTGTGTAGTGCACAGTTCAGTGATCAACACAAAGAGACAAATTAGGATTAGGACAAGGCCATTCTGCCTCTAGTTCGCTTTGCCATTCAATAAAATCATGGCAACTGTGATTGTGATCTCAACTCCACATTCCTACCTATCCCCGAAAACCATGACAGCTTTGCTAGTCAAGGATCTCTCTACCTCTGTTTGTTCTCTGGGAAGGGATTCAAAAATCAGAGAGAAATAGATTCTCATCCCCATCTTAAACGAGAAACCCATTATTTATAAACTGTGTCCCGTTTCTAGTGTCTCTCAAAAGGGGAAAGCACCCTTCCTTTAACAACCTGTTCAATAGGATTTCAGCAAGATCACCTCTTTCTCTCCTAAAAACCAATGGACCCAACCTGTCCAAGGTGATACACAGATGAGTGTTAGGGATGGGAGGAAAACAGAGATTGCGTAATAAAGTGGAACATTTACATGGAGAGCTACCAGTAGTTTTTGAAAAGCTTTATAATGGCAGAAGGTGAGATAGAGTAATAAAGAATCTTAGGAAGGTCCAATGTAATTGAAGCTGTGAACATATAAGCCAGAATCAGTGGAAGAGTCTATATGGGGAGGGTTTTAGGATAATTAATTTGGGAAATGAGTAATGAACAAATTTAATGTTATGACAGAGACTAATATTAGAAGTTAGACAGATTTCGTGCTTATAACTACAGCCCTGCGGTGATGGTATTACAACAGAATCTGCAAGAGTCATAGACGTATACAACGGTTTCAAGAGTTCAGGGTAGGGACACAGACAAGCAATGTGAATAGACCTGCTAATGAGCAAATGCGAGGTTAAATGTTTACCTCAGATTTCAACATTAAATCAAGATTATCAAACACAGGAGGTAACCCAGCATAAACCTGACCTAATCAGAGAATCAACAATTCACCATGGCTCCTTGGACATCACCTTCCAAACCCATTACTACTACCAAACTAGAAAGACATGAGAACAACACCACCTGCAAGGGCCCCTCCAAATCACACACCGTCCTGACATGGAAATATATTGCTTTCCTGAGTTGAAATCCTGTAACTCCCTACAGAATGGCATTGTGGGTGTACCGACAGCAAATGGATTGCAGTAATTCAAGAAAGCAGTTCACCACCACCATCTCAAGGGCAAGTAGGGATGAGCAATAAATGTTAGCTTAACCCAATTTTGCTCATGACTGAATTTTTTTTTTAAAATCTGCAGACACACTTCTGGCCCTGGGAGCCCAAATGATTTTACCACACCATTTTTTCTCCCTCCCAATAGTTGTTTCACGGGAAGTACAGAGCAAAATAAAGCCAATTATTGCTCAAACCTAAATTCCTTGGAGAAGGTGGTGCTGAGTGAATCTCTTGAACCACTCCATTCTTTGTAGTGAAGGACATCCACTGTGCTGTTAGGGAGAGAGTTCCAGGATAATGACCCAGTGACACTGACGGAACAGCGACACAATTTCAAGTCAAGACGCTTGGTCAGGGAACTTGCATCTACTGCACTTCTTCTTCAAGGTATAGCGGTCAGGGCTTGGAAAGTGCTGTCACAGTTTTGCCAAGTTGCAGCAGTACATCTCTTTTTATTTTTTTTTTAAAAATTCATTCATGGAATGTAAGCATTGCTGAATGGGCCAGAATTTGTTCCCCACGTGCAGGTGGTGTTGAGCTGCTTTCTTGTACCATTGCAGTCGACTTGGTCTCTGAACCCCCACAATCCTGTTAAGGAAGGACCTTCTAGGATTTTAACCCAGCGACATTAAAGAAGCAGTGATACATTGTCAAGTCAGAATGTTGAGCGACTTGGAGGGGAACTTGCAGGTAGTGGTGTTCCAATGTATCAATCACCCTTGTCCTTCCAGATATCAGTCTGTGGTTGTGGGTTTGGAAGGTGCTGTTTAAGGAGCCTTGGTGAATTTCTGCAGAGCATTTTGTCATTTGTACATACTGCTGCAACTTTGGTGGTGGTGGGAGTAAATATTTGTAGATGCAGTGCCAATGAAACAGCTGCTTTGTCCTGGATGGTGTCAAGCTTGACTGGTATTGAAGTTCATCCATGTAAGTGGGGAGCATTCTATCGGACTCCTGACTTATACCTTATAAATGGCTGACAGTCTTTGGGGAGTCAAGAGATGAGATTATTCGCTGCAGTATTCCAACTCTGACCTGCTCTTGTTGCCACAGTATTTATATGGCTAGTGCAGTTCAGTTTCTGGTTAATGGTAACCTCCACATGTTAATAAAAACAAAACCAGAAGACTGAAGATGCTGTAAATCAGAAACCAAAAAACATAAGTTGCTGGAAAAGGTCAGCAGGTCTGGCAGCATCTCTGAAGAGAAATCAGAGGTCTACTTTTCAAGTCCGGTGACTCTTACTCAGAACTGAGGAAGGGTCACCTGACTTGAAATGCTAACTCTGATTTTTCTTCCCAGAAGCTGTGTGACCTGGTTAGCTTTTCCAGCAACTTCTCCAGATGTTAAGAGTTGGGTACTCAGTGGCAGTAATACCATTGAATGTTATGGGCTGATTGTTGCATTCTCTCTTGTTGGAGATTGTAATTGCCTAGTTCTTGTGTGGCTTGAATTTTACTTCTTATTTGTCATTCCAAACCCGGATATTCTCCAGGTCCTGCTGTATTTAGACATGGATAGCTTCAGTATCTAAGGAGGTGTGAATGATGCTGAATATCTCTACTTCTGACCTTATGAAGAAGGGAAGGTCATTGATGAAGCAGCTGTAGATGTTTAGGCTTGGAGCACTACCCTAAGAAACTCCTGCACATTCTTGGGAGTTGAGATGGCTGACCTCCAAGAAGAACTGCCAACTTCCTTTGTGCTAGGTACATAAACACAGAAAATAGCAGCAGGATTAGTTCAATCAGCCCACCGTGCCTGCTTTGCTATTCAAAATGATTACGGCCAATCCTCTATCACAATGTCATTCTCCCACTCTCCTCATAACCCCTAAATATTTTTAGGTGTTTAAAAATCATTTTTTTAAATACATTCAGTGATTTCACCTGTACAGCCTTTCAGGGTACAGAATTTCACTGGTTCACCACTTTCTGTGAAGAGTAAAGAAACTTCTTATCTCACAGAAAAGCACACAATATTCCTGATGCAATGTCACCAAGGTCCTGTACATCTACAGTAAAACTTCCTTGCTCCTGTACTCAAACCCTCTTGCAAAGAATGCTAATATACTATCTGCTTTCCTACTTGCTACATCTGCATGCTTGTTTTCAATGACGGACATAAGATCGGTACTCAGTTCCCTTGAACATCAATCTTTCCGAATCTATCACCACTGAAAGAATATTCTGCAATTTTGTTTTTCATAGTGTACAACCTCACATATATACACAGTATACTGCACCTGCCATATATCTGTCCACTTACTCAACTTGGCTAAATCAACCCACAGACTCTTCACTTCATCCCCTCCACCACGATTCCACCTAGTTTTGTGTCATCAAATTGAAAACATTTCACTTGATTCCATCATCCACATTGTTGATATATACTATGAATAGCTGAGTTCCAAACATGCACTGAGGTACCCCACTAGCCACTGCCTTCCTCTCCAAGAACAACCCATTTATTCCTACTCAGTATCCTGTCAGCTAACCAATTCTCAATCCATCCAAGTATATTATCACCAAGCCCATATGCTTTGATTTTGCACAATAACCTCTTACGTTGGACTTTTTCAAAAGCTTTCTGGAAGTCCAATTACATCATGTCATTAGCTTCCCCTCATCTATTCTACTAGTTACATACTCAAAAAAACTCCAGTAGCTTTATCCATAACCTTCGCAGTATCCAGTGCCTTTGGCCATTTCTTAATATCGCATGGAGTGAATTGAATTAGCTGAAGACTTACACCCACGATGCTGGAACCTCACACGGAGGCCGAAATGATCATCCAAAAGCATTTCTGGTTGAGGTTTGCTGTAAATGCTTTAACTTCATCTTTGTACTGACATGCTGGATTCTTCCATCATTGAAGATGGGGATATTTGTGAAGCATCCTCCTGTAGTGAGTTGTTCGCTTGTCCACCACCACTCATTACTGGACGTGGGAGGGCTGCAGAGTTTAGATACGATCTTTTGGCAGTGGAATCACTTAACTCTATCTATCATTTGCTGCTTATCCTGTTTGTCACACAAGTAGTCCTGTTTTGTGACTTTACCTGGTTGCGACCTCATTATGAGATACGAGGTACTGCTCCTAGCATGCCTACCTGCACTCATCATTGAACTTAGATTGATCTCCTGGCTTGATGGTAATGGTAGGATGGGAGATAATGTTAATGGTAGGATGGGAGATAATGTTCGATTGGGAGGTTTCAGATTGTGCTAGTGTACAATCTGTTGCTGCTACTGGACAACAGCACCTCATGGATACCCACTGAAGTTGATGGATCTGTTCGAATTTTCTTTCATTTAACGTAGTAAGAGTACCACACAACACAACGGACAGTATCTTAGATGTGAAGATGGGACTTAATTTCCACAGCACTGTGCAGTAGGCAAACCTACTGCTACTATTTGAAAAATGCGGCCATGGAGGCAGAGTGGTGAAAGTGAGGTTAAGTATTTTCCCCTTTTTTTAGTTCCCTCACCATTTGCTGCAGACCCAGTCTAGCAGATATGTCCTTTAGGACTTGACTAGCTTGGTCAGCAGTGCTGTCACTGAGCCACTCTTGGCAATAGACCTTGAAGACCCCAGTGAGAGTACAATCTGCACACTTGACACTTTCAGTACTTCCTGCGAGTACTGTTCAATATGGAGGAGTATTATTTCATCAGCTGGGGATACACGGTAATCATCAGGTGCCCTTGCGCATGTTTAGCCTGATGCCATGACCCTTCATGGGGTCTGGAGTCAATCTTCCTCCTGACTGTATACCGCTGTGCTAACACCTTCCTGCATCTGTTCTGCCTGTGGGCCATGGGTGCTTCAAAGCCACTCTTCGTAATGCACACTGAAGTCCCCCACAGGAACAGGCTGGAGTTCTCAATTATTAGCCTAGCGATACTGATAAAGAAAGATCAAGAAAATATCAGGAGTGATCTAGATTTCTTCCTCGCCCACACCTTTATTAAAGGCACTACCTCTGGCTGGGCTACTGTTTAAATGACCTTTGACATCTTGCCCATGCATCCATTATCAAAAGGAGACTCAACAGGCTTTTCAATTGCAAGTGGCCTCACCTCCAAGGGCAATCTGTTCCTTACACAGAGGTACCTTGTAGCAAGAGTCATGGAACAAGGGAAAAGTAACCCAATGCAGGCTGAACTCAAACAATACAGTCAATTTCTAACAATCTCTTACACTTCCCCAGCACTCAGTATGCACAAGGAGAATACTTCCAGTATACGTGGAGCAGGCTGGAGAACGGAAAGAGGCTGACAGAAGTCTGAAGACATGATCAAAAATAAACTGTTTTTATTTCTGAAGCAGGAGGCAAACTATCCATATCATGCTGCAGCATCAGTTGTACTACAGGACTCTGGTGATGTGCCTCAAAAGTTGAAACAAAACATCTGTGGATCCTTCCTGTCAGATTTTGTAATATACTTATTAATATCTGAGCAATATTACTCCAAAAACAACCTTTCAATGCAGAAATCACCTCCCACCCTACCAGCAGTGATATCAGGGGCTGGGCTCCAGCTTTTCTGAAGACATACATAATAAAATGTGCCTACATATTTTAGACTTTTCCTTAATGGACGTTTCAAAACCATGTTTTCCCCACCTGCCACCACAACCAAGGCCTGTGTAGCACCAGCTTGTTTCATTCCACTAACCATCATTAAGCCTCATCATAGTGAACCACTTAAAGCCTGTAACCATTCGCCAGTGGTCTGTACCTGAGAGGGGTCGGTGACCCGAAGGGTCACCACATCCTCGCTTGTGTACTTGATCAGGAGGTGGTTCTCATCCAGAAGCTGCATCTTCCACATGCGTAGTTGCTGCAACTGGTCGAAATATTGAAAGAAACGGCGCTTAGCAGCAGCGCTTCCATCACTTTCTGCCCTTTGCCACAGGTATACCAGCAGCCGATGCTTTAAAGAGTTCAACGTTTTCTCCTTAAAAGGGCGTGACGGGGCATTTTGCGCGTCACCCTGCACTTCAGGATACACGGCTGAAACAGTGAGGAGGTCGTCTTCGTAACAGAAGCGCCCAATGGTTCGAACATCGATGAAAGTTCCTTCTGGGGTAACTTGGAACACGTGAATGGTCTGATGCTGCACAGAGAGGATAGCCAAGATATTCTTATACAGGTAAAGCCCTTGGTTGTGCGAGAGAATGACCTTGTCGCACTTAAAGGTCCTCGTGTCACAAAGACTCCCTGTGTGCAGGTCAATGATGTGCAGAGAGTAATCTTCTAACGGAGAGCGAGGGTTTGGTGTAACAGACTCATTGTTTCGGTAAACATCAAAGAAGAGAGGATGAGGCTCCTCAGGGAGATAAGCAGCAGAGCCAACAATGACGTACCGGCAATCATCAGTAAACAAACTACACTCACGATTCAGGTGCTCCCCATTCGACGCTACGCTAGTGACGTGCAGCAGGACAAAGAAGCGCTCAAACAATTTGCCACGGATGTTGACAGACTGCAGGTCATTGGCGCCATTCAGCATGATCTCCCCATCGTAGCCCTGAAGGAGGTCCTCAGCTGCCTGACAGCCCTGGTACTCATAGATCTCCAATGAGGTTTGGTCCAGGGAAAATGCAATAAAATAGCGGCCATCAGGAGAGAACTTGCGCAGGAAACACGGCGGCTTTTCTACGTTAACCACAGTGAAGTTGGGAAACACATTCTGATGGAGGCAACGCACCATGTACCAGTGAGCTCCAGGCCTGCCGGAATAGATCCTCCGGCGCTCCAGGCGGTAAACAACATTCTGATTCTCGATGCGACGAGGTTTGATGGTGGGTTCATCATCATCCATTCTCAGCCATCACCACATGTTGTAAAACAAAGAACTGCGAATGCTGGAAATCTGAAACAAAAACAGAAATTGCTGGAGAAACTCAGCAAGTCTGGCAGCATCTGTAAAGAGAAACAGAATTAACGTTTCGAGTCCAGCGACCCTTCTTCAGAACCACATGTTGTCTCTGCACCAGCACACGGAATATTGAAAAGCAGAGTCTGTCACCTAGTCAATAATCAGAATATCAGAAAGAAAATATAAATAAGCAGGATTCTCTCTGAATCATTGTCTGTTATTTATCCAATGATTACTTGTCTATGTTTTGCTTGATGCATTAGAGAGGGCACAGGAAAGATGTTGTTCCAGGGATGAGGCTCTGCAGTTATGAGGACAGATTACAGGAGCGGGACTGTACCCTTTAGAGAAAGTTGAGAGGAGATTTGATAGAGATGTTTAAGAACATCAGGGATCTAGACAGAACAATGATGATAAACTGTCCCCGTATCCAAAAGGATCAAGATCCACAGAACATCGATTTGAAGTGATTGGCGAAAGAACCAAAGATAAACTTTTTTTTAAAAGCAGGGAGTGGCTCAGATCTGGAATCTAAGAATATGGTGGGCACAGATTCAATTATGAATTTCAAAAGGGCATTGGATAATTATCTGTTAAAAAAAAATTGCAAGGCTACAGGGGGGACAAAAAGGAGTGAGGCTAGCTGAAATGCTCTTGCAAAGAGCCAATATGGACACAATGGCCTCCTTTGTACAGCAACCATTTTATGATGGTCCAGCATTTAATAAATTGCTATGTGTGCAGGTTTGAAATTTTGTACGTTTCCCAATGGAAATTTAAAAAAAAAAAGACCATTACGAATTATGTCCTCCTAAACACAGGTTGATCCAAAGAAAGCATTTTGAACAGTGTAATACATGAGTACTGGGGGTACAGTCCAACACTAGTGGTGGCATGAAGTTAAAATATCCTTTAAAACAACCTATTTCTTCCACTCCATTGTGTTGATTTTGTCTTACATCCAACGTATTGTCAATTCTCACAGTCATTACACTGAATCACTTCCTACCAAGACCAAAGCCCTTTTGTCTGGCTTGAATGAATGGCCCAGTTTTACTTCAAACAAAATCCTTCCTACCATATCAAGAAGCAGCTTCTAAGGATACAAAGGTTTGATTAAGAATATTACAATAGATGTGCCTCCCACACTAAATAAATTTAAAGGATTTTTGCCAAGCCAACACTACATTAGCCACCTTCCAGTCTGTGGCTACTACTCTTATTTTCAATAATCTCAATGAATGATGTTCAATTACCCCAAGCGAACCTTCTCAGCCTATGTTTGATTACCCAATTTAAAACCCGGATTTCCTTTTAGTAGATTCTTTTCTATTTTCAACCCCACCACACGTTCTCAAAAAACCGAATTTAACTGCTGTGCAGGAGATGCTGAGATGCTACAACTCAGTCTGTTTGGCATAAAAGTCAAACGGAATCTTACGTACAGAATGCAGAAGTGAGCATGTGAATGGCCTTTTGGGTAGATATTCGCAACCAGCTCTGTTGATGTGAGCATGAGAAAAATGGTGCACCAAATACATGGACCTCTCTTGCCAGTTAGTCAATAAGCTTGAAAATGAAAATATAGATATTGTCTAATGAACCTGTTCAGATGTGTTCTGAAACATCACTGGGGCAGACAGGACTTGAATCCGGGCCTCCTGGCTCGGAGGTAGGGACACTACAACTACTTCACCCCTTTTTTAATCCCTACAAATGAGCAGCAATCTTCAATTTTAACACTTTGAGAGCGTGATTCATAAAGAAATGGGCAGATACAAGCAGGCTTTGGCTGTCAAACTAATGAAGCAAACTTACAGATTAATTGTTAACCATTTTACACAGAAAGTGGACAGCCACTAGAGAATCAAAGACCAGCTCCACTCCATGGCGCTCCCAAACAGGGACCCCGGGCTGATGTGTCCCACAGCCGAATGTCTGCTATCAGGGCACTCCCTCACCCTCTCCTCGGGGCCTACCACACTCACCTCATCCACACGGTACAATAGCGGGGCCGGACCTCCTGTTCACCGCCCAGCTCCTCACCAACTCCAAGCTACAGCGCGCCAGCCCCAGAGGAGAGAGTCATCCAGCGCCGGGCGGCCTATCCCACAATGCACTGCACATCCGCTTCCCCCCGCCAGACCAGGCAGTTTCACCCTGCACCTTCCTCGCTCTGCCTTTAGAGGGAGCTCCAGCCTCTCGCTCCATTTTTCTGTTGTCACCAATGAGTTGGAGCCGCAATAAATCAACGAAATCAACAATACGTCTTATTTTTCACCTTTACCCCACTTTTACCCTTTCCTCACCCGAAACAGTGACCTAGGTTAGCGTACAATATTATACTTGTTGTGCTAATAGCTACAGTACATCATTGGCAAAGTCAAATAATGACAAATTACGAACCAGGACCTGAGGGAAGAAAGTTCTAATGAATCCTGCTCAACTTTGTCTCTGCAAGTAGAGTAAGTAGTTAATAAATATTTGTTATTGTTGAAAAGAACACATATTGCCACAGTTTTCATCTTGCACACGTTAGGACAATTTGCACGAATACCAATTCAAGGGGAAAACCAGCTGGGGCCTTCTCTACTACAATTGACTGAAAGCCTACCTCCACTGGTCAATACACATGTTGCAATCCTATAGTTCCATGTGCTGTAAGATTGGTTTTATCAGAAACCTTGTAAATGGGGCCTGAGCCAATTGTCAAAGTGTAAACTTGATGCTGAAATTGTGTGTATCAAAGTCATACAGTTTGTTGCCTGGATCAGACTATTTCTTGCGATCTATCACGCAAACTCATGAAAGGTCCTAAAGCAGTTACTTGTGGATCTGAGAAGTGTCTTGTCTACCTCAGATTACCCATAAAGGGTAAGATGTCTCAAAGATTTGAGTAACACGTGAAGCCCACGGATTTCTCAGCAATCCCCTAGATGTTAGTGACATTGTAGATCAGCAAATCTCATTCAAACATTGTCTCCCTGACAAGGAATTCTAGTTCTTACTCTGGAAATCTTGCTTTGTCATAGACTGCCGTCAATGACTCCTTACAGCCTGGCATCTTAATCTCTTTCCCCAGTATTCTGTTCCACTGGATTCTGGAGATTGCCTTCCAATACCTACACACAGGTGCATTTATAGCTTTTCACACACAGCCAGTTTTGCTAAGTTTAGAATTGTCCCCAGTTACTTAAAGCTCAAATATTACTTTAGCTCTATCAAAAAAATACCGCCTGTGGCCTACCTTCACCTCGATACTTAAGTGCACTGAACTAGCAATGATTTCTTGACTTCCTCCAAGCCCCCATTGCTCTGATGGTTCCAGAATCACACCTGAGCCCTAATCCCAACTCTTTGTTACATCTACTGGCTCCCAGGTTCTCTGAGCCCTATCTACCTGGATCCTGCTACAGCAGCCCCATTTTTGCTGTGGACCCTCTTCCTCTGCCCCTCTCTACCTTACTGAACTGCAGCCCAAAGGTAGCAACCTTCTGCTTCACCTGCCTCCACATAACTAATTAAAACCTGCCTGCTGTGTAAACATTTGAACTGTTTTGAATGACCTCTTGAAACACTGAACCCCAGCTTTGTTCCTGGGTAAAATTGAATGCAGCAAGCACTGGAACATCATATGCCTATGTTACAGTTCATTGGGCCATTAGCCCACACAACACAAATGGATATAAACAAACTGGATTTCATCACAATGTCTTGCCATTCTGTGAGTTAGCTGGCATGAAACACACATCATTCCATAACATACTTCTTGTGTAGCACCTTCTAACTATTGTGTTATCCTGAGTACTACAACGCAGCTTGTATATTGGCCAGTGTGTTATTCCATATTGTGCATTAGCATATGTGCATTGAGGTGAGGATGAGACGCGAGTTGCAGCCTTGACCAAGACTGCATTTGACTAAGTGTTGTATCAAGGAGCCCTAACAAAATTGGAGCCAATGAGAATCAGGGGAAAACTCTTCGGTTGGAGTCATACCTGGCACATAGGAAGATGGTCGTGGCAGTTGGAGGTCAGTCATCTCAACTCCAGGACATCTCTCTGCAGGAGTTCTTCAGGGTAGCGTCCTAGTCCCAACCACATTCAGCTACTTCAACAATGATTTTCCCTCCATCATAAGATGAGAAGCAGGGAAGTTCAACACCATTCACGACATCTTAGATACTGAAGTAGTCTACATTCAAATCCTCCAAGATCTGGAAATATCCAAGCCTGGTCTGAAAAGTGACAAGCATCATTTGTGTATCACAAATGCCAGGCAATAACCACCTCCAATAAGAGACAATCTAACGACCAACCTTTCATATTAAATGGAGTTATCATCAATGATCCCTCATTTTCAACATCATGGGCGTTACTGCTGACCAGAAACTCAACTGAACTCACTGTGTACATACATGGTTACTAGAACAGGTCAGAGGATAGGAATACTGTAGCAAGTAACTTTACTCCTGAATCCCCAATGCTTGTCCACCATCTCCAAGGCACAAGTGAGGAGTACAATGGAATACTCCCCACTTGCCTGGATGGGTGCAACAACACTCAAGAAGCTTGATACCATCCAGAACAAAGCAGCCAATTTGATTGTCACCACATCCACAAACATTCAATCACTCACCCACCATTGATGCTCAGTAGCAGCAGTGTGTATTACAAGATGCACTGCAGAAATTCTCCAAAGATCCTTAAGACAACACCTTCAAAACTCATAATCACTTCCTTCTAGAAGGACATGGGCAGCAGACATATGGGAACACTACCACCTGCAAACTCCCCTCCAAGCCACTCACCATCCTGACTTGGAAATATATCTCCATTCCTTCCATGTTGCTGCGTCAAAATGCAGCAGTTCAAGAAGACAGCTCACCACCACCTTTTCAATCACAACTAAGGACATGCAGTAATTGCTGGCCTAGCCTCTGACACCCATGTCCTATTAGGGGATTAAAAAAAAATACACTGTGCATTATCCTATGTGCTGTCCACCTCAGCCCGTATCATTGGTGTGCAGTGCCAACCAGATATTGTCCAGAGTGCAATAATCTCCATGCTTTGTGAAAGATGTTTCATCCTGTCTGTTATGTATTTATATATTACTATTCCATAATATACTCTCAAATCTATGTTTTCTGAGATGTTACGTTTCTATCCAGTGTGTAATACAGTTGAGATTGTGTGTTACCCTCTCCCTATTGCATATATTGTAATAGTTTCAACCCTGTGTTTGATACAACAGTCTGGCAAGGGCCAGGTACTCTGCGACTAGTGGCTAACCCCACAATGGTCCTCAAGACTCATGTTCAGAGTAATAGAATATGTCACTCACCTAGAATCCTGCAGAGACAACATCATTCAAATTAAAGCTTAATGCCACCCAGATACAAATCAGTTTGATTATCACCATAACTGCTCACCTCATCGCCCTCTGTTGAAGCACTGTGTGCAATCTATAGAATACCTTTCAACAATGCCCCTTCTACTTCAAAAGCACCTCCAGCCCTGCAACCTTGACCACAAAGAGGGAACAACAAAGGTTCATCAGCTGAGTGTTCCCCATTAAGTCACACATAAATCTGTCTTGGATAAATAGCATCCCCCACTCATCACTGCTGGGTTGAAGTCTTGCAATTCACAGCATCAGCCACAATGGTGGGAGCATTACAACAGCTACAACAATCCAAGAAGAAGGTCAAGTGCCACCTTCTCAAGGCAACTAAAGATCAGCACTGAACACGGTTTTGACAGCATGCTATGAATGAATTAAATCAGAATCTAGTTATCCAGAATGTAACACACTCCAATCTGTGATGAGTGACAACAGCTATGACCAGCCTCAGTTAGGGGGATAGTCACCAAGCAGCATACTCACTGCTTAGAGGCAGGGTCATCAAATATTTTAAAGACAGAGGTAGATAGATTCACTAATAAGGGAGTCAATGATTATCAAAGGGATAGCAGGGAAAATGGAGTTGTGCAGTCAGATCAATCACAGGCTTACTGAATGGTGGAGTAGGTTTGAGGGGCTGAATAGCTTTCTTGTGCTCAGTGAATGCCTCCTGTTCGAAGTCCATAGAATCCCTATAGTGCGGATGGAGGTCATTTGGCCCATCAAGTCTACACCAACCCTCTGAAGAGCATCCTGCCCAGACACAAAGCCCCACCCTATCCTTGTAAACCCGTACTTACCATAGCTATCCACCTAGCCTGCACATCACTATGGGATAATTTAGCACGGCCGAACTACCTACCCTGCACATCTTTGGACTGTGGTTGGAAACTGGACCACCCGGGGGAAATCCGCACAGACATCGGGAAAATATGCAAACTCCACACACAAGGCTGGAACCAAATCTGGGTCCCTGTTGCTGGGAGGCAGCAGTGCTAACCATTGAGCCACCATGCCACCCAAAGTTGCTTGTGAATCGGAATTGAGTGATAACAAGGTCATGTTTAGACTTAATGTTCCTGTAGTCAAATGGTGTTCTGGTACAGGGTCCATCAAAGTGACGTGTGCAGCTAATGCAATTCAGTTGCAAAGTGGTAATGTTACTAGCCTAATAATCCAGCAGTCCAGGCTACTTCTCTGGGTCACAGGTTCAAATGCCATCAGGCCAGCTGCTGGAGTCTAAATCAATTCTGGGTTTGAAATGTAGCGTCTGCAATGGTGACCATGAGGCCCTGATATGATGCCCAAGTGTCATATAAGTGAGACAGCTTCTGATTGTGATTCAGTGCCAACTTACTCAAGAGGAGCAGTGACCACTTGAAGACTGTTAACCAGGATAAGGTGCCTGATTCCCATGGAACAGTGACCTGTTATTAGATGAAGATGTGCAAGATAGGTCTGAATTCATCATGTAGTGCCAATTCCATCTCCCACATGTCTTATCAGCCAGACTGAGAGCTGACTGTTAAGAGATGTCTGAACATTAAGGTTGTGTCATGCAGGCTCTGGTACAGCGTATTGGTGAGCACCTTTAACAGGCCTGCTCCCCATCACATGCTCTTTAAACGAAAGCATTTTGTGTCCAGACAATGGCCTGAGCATCTCACTGCACTTAAGCTGCATTCACCTCCTTACATTAAGTAAATTGAGGCAGAGAGGGAG